CTTTTCCTCTCAAATTTTACTACACAGGAAATGGCATCATTGTCAACTTACTAATCAGCCTTATTCGTTTTTTCTATTTTTCCAAATAATCTATTTCATCAACAAGTTCTGTCATCTCTAAAATCCAAAATCTAGCAAGAATACCTCTTTTTATTTTGTCTTCAGAAGCATCGTCTGTAGCTCTGCTCCAACTTCCTCCCCTGGACTAATGTAACAGCTTTCAGATTGATCTCTGCTTCCATCCTTTCTCCTTTTTAATGTATGCCCTGTCAGAACTTGAGACATATGTAACAACAATAAGCAAAACAATACGAACAACAGCTTCATTTTTCCAAATAAATTCTTTCAGTGACTTCCATTGCAGTTGGAATAAAAGTCATACTTTCATCCACCACCTACCTCTTGCTGACGTGGTTCCCTCACTCTCTGTTTTCAAGCCACATTAACCTGTGCCCTGTCATTGAGGATGCCAAGCTCTCATCTATTTCAACATGGCAGCTTTTGCTTCTCCCCCGAGGCTCTGAAGAATTGGCTCTGAATTTCATGTTTCTGCTATAATGTCTCTTCAGATACATGTTTTCTGACCATCTTATCTACAGCAGCTTGCTGTACTCAGATTCTCACTATAACATCACTATATCTAGGCCCGGGGGGATTTAGCTCAGTGTTTCCACCATCTGCCTCACAAGTACGATCCCCAGTACCCCTCAACAAAAAGTGCACATCCCCGTATCTATTTCTCCACAAATATGTCACACTTCTCTTACAGTTTTGCTTGTTTCTTTACTAGCTATCAGTCTCTCCTCCAATAAACACTCTGTGAAAGCAGTCTGGCCTGTGATATTTTCAAAACAAATACTTGACTTAATAAACGGTACGAGTGCATGTAGACACATATAGCATGAAAACATCGTGTGTGTGTGTGTGTGTGTGTGTGTGTGTGTGTGTTACTGTGTGTTGAACTTGGGGTTTTGACTCTGAGCTACTTCTCCAGCCTTTATTTTTATTTTTTATTTTAAGACAGACTTTCTAAGTAACTAACTTGCCCAGGCTGGGCTCAAACTTATGGTCTTCCTGTTTCAGCCTCCCAGAGCGCTGCAATTACATGCATGGATCACCACAGTCAGCAAGAACATCACTGTTTTATAGAAAACTTCGAGTTCTTACCAAGCACTGTGTACCTTTACCTGTATATATCAATCACACCTGTCAGCAACGGCATTCTTTACCTTTTTCCACCAGCCACATCAGTTCCTCACTAACTGTCTCCATAGATTCTGTTTCATCTCTCAATTCATACTCCCTTTAGCTAAGTAATGCACATTTTGAACTTCCTTCAAATGTCAACTGATGGTTGCTTTGTCAGTGAGGCTTTCCCTGCAGGATTCCTCTCCCATCACCTGAGATTGGCTCCGTTATTCCTAAATTTTACTTTCATGTACCTTTTGTATTCATTCTTCTCCTGATTGCAATTAACCTACTCTCTTGTCACTATTTATTTGCAATCCCTAAGGTCCAGGCTGTCATGTTCACTGCAACCTTACCACCTTCTTAAAAACATCCTGGAGCAGAGTTGAGACTACATCAGTATTTGTTGACAAGCAAGTACTTATTTACTTGTGGATTAGAGGCAAGTGGCAAAGAAGAATTCACTTTTATGCCACCCCTGTCTCTCCGGAGCACACATTAATTAACTTTAACGGAAATCAGTCAATCCGGCAGAGGTACTCACACTGATAATACAGGGCTTTCATTCTATAAAATCACCTCCGTTATTTGGGGATGAATTGAGGGATTTGCATGTGTGCTTATGAGCCACTCTTGTCAGCCACCATGAAGTCTGCTGGTTTCTTTCTTCTTCTTCATTCACTGGTTTATTCCTTTTGTCAGCAGCAGAGCCTAGTGAAGTTACCTTGCCTATATCCCCCAATGTGTCGGCAAGGGAGAGTTCCATGTATCACCCTTTGGTATACAGTCAATCTCTGTCAACATAAGCGCTACTGCTGGGCTGCAAATGTCCTGTTTAGAAACATTCAGTATGGACTCATTCCACCGGCTAATAGTCAAAAAAAGCAAGAAATTGCCCTGGTGCCTTTTGAATTACACCTTGTGACAATAATTGGATTCTGGTGGTATGCAGATTTTTTCAAGTTTTAATTTCTCTATACTTTATGTATTTCCCACTATCTCTCTAAGGAGTCAGTGATTAATCCATGTATGCCTTATTGAGATACAAAAACTCCATGCTTTTCTCAGAATCACTTGTCCTCTTAATAAATGGGTGTGTTAAGTTTCAACCACATTTTCCTCCTAGGAGAATCCTTTCATATACTTTGTAAACATAGATATCTGAAGAATACAACTCGTCCACTTCCCAGTCATGGAATACATTTGAGGATCTTCAAAACACTTCTAAATTTTATTTCAGTGGGAATCAACAAATGTGGCCACCAGGTAGAGCTGGGTGAGTATTGAGGGCTTGTGGAAAAAAAAAAAAATGCTTCCGTTCAAGCATAATGAACTACCTGGAATTGTTTATTGTGACACTACATGGGCAAAATAATTCATATGGTTTCAGTACCACAGGGCAGGTAATGGACCTAGCAGACGTACAGATTTACAGCAGTCATCAGGGATCCAAGCCCAAGCCTCCTCTTTCTTGTTTTTTGCACACTTTGCATAAAAAAGGGAAAACTAATGTGAGATCAAGGACTAAGAATGGTGAAGAGTCTGCTCTTTTGCAGAAAATGTTCTTTCAATGTGAGCAGTGAGTACACTTTTCCACGGGAAAAATAAAATTTCCACTCAAATAAATCTGCCACACTTTAGGACCCAATGCAAAACAGCGATAGACACTGAGCAGTCTAGAGATCCCCAACCTGCCCTGGGCTGCCTTCAAGGAGTCAACTTGAGCTCTGAATACTGAAGTGAATCAGGGACTGAAAAATACAGAAACTTCAGGAGAGACTCCAGATGAGATATGGTGCTAAAATGAAGAGTTGGCCCCAAACAGAAACATTACTCTTAGGAAAATTAGTAAAGATGGAATCCTTGAGAGCAAACATTAAATCAAGAAGAATTAAAATCATTAAGGGAAATACAAATAAACTGAAGAAAGATTTTACCATCTGTACAAAGCCCTGCTTGTAAAGAGGGACAAATGAGGATGAATGAGTATGAAAAGTATTATGCCATATAACTTACTTTAGCAAAGAACTCATATATGTGTGTATATACATGTATAATTTTTGAAATATTTAAATACATTGTGTGATTCAAGAATGCATCCACATAACAATTAACACTGTTTGCACTGAAATGTCTTTGTTGTTTTCTTACCACGTGCCACAGTGCTAACATTAATACCTCCTGACAGTGGTGAGAGATTATAAAGAAAGCATTTTCCACAGTAGGTACAATGTACTCCAATGTGCAGAACCACTGGGATTCTTGTAATTAAATCAAACTCCCACCAGGGGGAGCAAGGGAATAAATCACAAAGCCCTGTATCCAAGCACCTTTCCAACCAAAGGTACATTTGATTCCAGAGGAAACTAGGAAAAGGCTCGATATAGATCTTTTTCTTCTCCTTCTTCTTTTGGTGAATCACTTGCAGCTTGCATTTCTCTGTAGGCAGTTTCTTTCAGATTTATTTTCTCGGTTTTCTCAGCAGCTTTTTTTGGTTGTAAATCCACGCTGTGACTGAGCAGCAGAGCAATATTCCAGCAAGCTCCAGCAGGGTTGCACTTTGCAACAAAATTTTTAGAACCTCGCACGCTCCTTTACAGCAGTCTTTCCCAGTGCCTCACCAGAGTCACTGAGAGAGGATAGAATTTGAAGAGGAGGGGACACAAGGCTTAGGGAAGCTTTTGGAACTACTTAAAACTCAGAAAGAGGAACAGGGGAAGAGGACAGGTCAGCACTGCAGAAGGTCATTACCAAACGCAATCAGCATCCGTTTCTAAACCCCTCCCCCTTGACGTGTCTTTTGTGTCTCCCAGGCAACCCAGGCCTGCCCACCTCTCCACCCGCAGCCCACAGCCTGGCTCCCTCCCCTTCCCACTCCGGACTGACTGACCTCAGTGCAGATTTTAAAGGGGTTGTTTGTACCTGGATGGTCGTGGGTAGATGTGAAGAAGAGGAGAACAAGGGGGGGGGGGAGAGCGTGAAGACTTCTAAGGCCTAGCAGTTGTGATTTTTGTGTTTTATTGGTTCCCACTCTTTGTCGGAACATCACCCTTGTCAGTTTGGAAGTATCTTATTCCTTGCTGTGAACATCAGATGGCATGAAAAATGCTCTTCTTTGCCCTGGACATGGTAGTGTGCAGATGCTTAGATGCATACTCAAGTACTTCTCTCCATTTTCCACGTGTTCTGGTTACAGGTGTAAATCTTTCATTAGAACTAGTTTCTTGTGAGATGAGCAATGTTTCAAGTTCATTCTAGGGTCTCTAGTAAACAGTAAAGAAACAGAATAATGTGTATATGTATGTATGTATATCACGGTAGTAATAGTTGAGTGATTAAGTGGTATTGGAAGAAAAAGATGGGGCACTTTAATTATTTTAAGTAATATTTTAGCATATATGTATGTGCTAAAGTATATATATGGAATATACATATATACTTCTGAACATTAGAAAATGAATTCAAAATTAAAATATATAGGTGTATTTAAAATGACATTGGAAAAATTAAGTTATAGATTCTAAATAACCAGGTAACTTCAATAACCCCCAAACATTTGTTGAGTGCTTTTTGGAGTCCAGGCACTATTTTAAGCACTCATTTGATTCTCAAAAGAACCCTAGGATATAAGTATTTTATCATATTTTTATTTCAAATAAGAGAACTGATGAATAAAGAAAATTCATTCAAGATTATTTACCAAAACATCCACCAATTGTACTACTGCTTCTCACGTTCAAATTTATTCATACTTCATTTATGATATTATATACGTTGTGTATTCTTTTTAGAGAGAGCATAAGAAAGGTACACAGCTTCGTAGCATTAAATTTAACCAGCCCTTGTGTCAACTTAACAAGTCTACTGAATAATCTCATAGATTTTGAGGTCACAATTGCGTTCACTTCTCTGCTCCATTATACAGCAGCCTGGCAGGCTAGATGGGGTTTCCACCTGTGTACACTGCTGTAAGAATCCTTCTTTCTTCCAATGTGCCCACTTCCCCTTAGATTTCCATTCTACGCACTGCCACCATGCATGCCACTTATTTTGTCCCCATCCCGATTTTAGATATTGTCTTCTTCCTTCTAGATAGAGAATAACAGATCTGAAAAGCTTATTTAAAAACACTGTAGTTTTACAGTCCTCTCCTAGGACACAGGCACTTGTAACAAAGATTCAATAAGGACTGAAAGTGCTTACCCCAACACCATGGTTCATTTGTGAAATATTGAAGGGACGAGATCCTGACCGCAACTAAGTCCTGAATTGCATTATCTTACTTATTTGCATTTTTTTCTAAGCCTCAACTGTGGGCATCTCCACATTAGTCCTAGATAATGCAGAAGCGAGACTTTGCAGTGCTTTCCACACCTGCACAGACTCCTCTTGGGAACGCTAGTTGTGGGCTAATTGGAGTGATACAGCCCCAAATCAGGCCTCTCAAATCTTTGAACTGGTTTTCCTTGCAGGGGAAAATTTTATGGGATAGAAATCAATCTCAAAGACTGCCCATTTCATTTTATACAGTGTTCTTGAATGTGACATTGAAATGCTTTATCTCACAGAAAAACTTGCTCCCCTCATTGCAGACCCTGGACTTGAGAGGTAAAAAAAAATGTAGGGCCAGGGATTTAGCTCAGTGGCACTGTGCCTGGTGCGCAAGCACAAGGTCCTGAGTTCTTTCCCCAGTACCAAAAAAGAAATATTATTTCCAAAGGGATCTATTTCACTAGCTTGAAAACCTGCTTCTAATCTCCAAGAATAAGAAATTTTCCTTGAGCTCTATTCAGGCTATACCTTGTTGAACACTAGGGAAAAGAAGTACTTTGGTGCCTCTTGTATAGATGGTAGATTTGGTTCCATTTCTCAGGACCTTTCTCATGACCACAGGGTTTGGCAATGACCTAAGAGCATTCAGATTGAGGAAGAGTGCAGTTTGAGTTTGGAAAAAGACAATCCTCTGCACTAACATTCACACCAGAGAACTGTCTCTTTGGCTTAAATTATCAGGAAATATTAACTTGCCAAAGAATGGACTATCCCTGCTATTAAGAAATAGCAGTACTATGAAGTGAGGTAGGGGTAGAGCTAGAAGGTATCTGAACTCAGTGAGAATGATATTTCTCATTCCTAAAAGAAACTTCCAACTCAAAATATCTCAACAGGGGCCGAGGATTTAGCTCAGTGGTTCCGCCACCTGCCTCACAAGTCCGATCCTGGGTACCAAAAAAACAAAAACAAAAACAAACAAATACACAAAACTCAACAAATAAGACAATGTGTTATTTTGCATCATAAGGACTTTGGAGACAAGCTGAGGCCAGAATGAATGAATCAGGATCAAAAATGCTGGTCCTAGGGGGTTAGAAAGGCTGTGACACCTTTCCTCTTTCTATGAGAGTAAAGGTCAACATGACATTTTTGTAACAGAAGCCACATTAAAGCTGGGTGTGGTGACCTAGGCCTGTAATCCCAGCACTCTGGGAGGCTGAGATGGGCAGCTGAGGCTGCATGTCAGCAAGTTCAAGCCCAGCCTGGACAACTTAGCCACTGAATGACACACTGTCTAAAAAATAACTGAAAAATATTAAAAAGGGCTTGCCAATGTAGCTCACTGCAAAGTACCTAGTTTCAATATACTTAGCATGCCAAAGTTCCATAATTTGAGGTGTTGTTTTCCGCAAACCAACATTACTAAAGACAGAGATTTTTCATTGTGATTACCTTCTGCCTTTGCAACAATTTTGGCTGAGTTCCTTGACGTTGTCCATTTAAGAACACAGTATGATCTTTTACTTCCAAGAATCACATCCTCAAATTACACCATTTAATAATGCCCCAAAGTAAGGGGAGTAGGTAGTCTATAGGGAAGGGAATGCAGTCTCTTTGTCTGCTCTAGAAAGGGCTGGAAGTTTTCCTGGAGGCTGTCTCCGTTGACCTACCTCCCATCTCGCAGCCTCATTTTCCCAGTTCCAAGGAAATCACTGGCAAGATGAATGTCAGTGCCTTGATTGAAGTAACCAGCATCGTGGTTTATCCTGACACAAGAGCCACACCTGTGGAGCCAAGGGGATTCTGTCAGCAAAGAAGTAGGTGAATAGAACATCCTGTCTGAGAAGGAGTCAGTCAGTGCATCCCAGGGACAGCCTAGGAAGTTAACCATGAACTATCACCTCTGCTACAACTCTGGTCTGTTATGCTGTAGTCCCGACTGAAGTCTTGACACCTTTGTCCAGCTTCGCTGTGGGCCCTCAAGCTTCTGGGTGCTCAACTCTGAGTCAGAGTGGTACAGAGTGCCTTGGGGGTACAACCCAGAACTTTCAAGATTATGACAGGAGTGTTTAGGGAAACTAAACATGGAGGGAAAGCAGAATCTTGAGGCAGGAGTTGGAGTTACAAGATTCATCTGCCTGTGCTACAGTGATATTTCTGGTCCGATCTCCTCATTGAAAGATTCACCCATGAATTCAACAAATCTTATACAAACATCTAGCATACACGCAGGTTTTGTTGTAGCACTGAGGATCTATCAGTAAACAAAATGGACAGACATTTATGTCCATAGTGCTTACCTTTAAGGTAGTGAGGAAAGTAACACTTAAAGATAAATAAGATAAGGAAATTATTAGGCACACTACCAGATCAGAAGCCCTGTAAATAAATACAACAGGGAAGAAACTAGAAGGAACTAGGAAATGAGTAATTGTATATAGGGTAGTCAGGAACATTTCATTGAGAAATCACATATAAGGAAAGACTTGAAAGAGGCCAGGGAGTTGGTTATGCTAATGTTCCTGTGGGAAGAGCATTCTGAACAAGTGTGCAGACCTTACAGCATGAGGGTGCTGGTAGACCACAGGAACAACGGGGCCTGTCAAGTCTTTGAGCTACAGCTAGATGAAACCAGGGTGTCCATGGGCCCTGTTCTTTGTCAGTCTAATTTGTAAGGCTCTGCCCTGAATCTAAGCTAAGAAGAGGAACAAGATGTTTCAAAAGTCCTATTTCTCTAGTGACAGAGTTCTCTCCAGCAAAATGGCTTCTAATCCCGCAGCTGTAGAATCCAACTTTCTTAGCTTGGGCAGGTCAGGCCATCTTTCCAGATCTCATTTTGCTTCATGTATAACAGTACGTTATCTTTTCCATAGTACCTGAGACTGATTACAGAGTCAATATTCTGTAACACTTAGTGTTCCACAGTTGATGAGGCAAGCAACTCACTTTTCATATGTAATTAAGAATACTGTAACAATTTCACACAAAAAATCGTTCAAATGGCTTCCAAAATGGGCACAAGAAACAATTCAATTCAGAAAAGAATTATTGTGAGTACTATCAGCCTACGAACTGTAGGAATTTCTAATGGTTTGAATATTTAGTTACTAAAATATTTGTTTATAAATAAGATGTTAATAATGTGTTTTTATAAATTTGAGTAATTGCAATTTTTGCTTCTCCCAAAAAATACTGTCCTTTGGTCTTTGTAGGCTAACTGTAAAGGATCAAAAATGTTAATTAAAACCAAAGGCATTAGTTTTTTCTCAGTACATTTCAGAAAGTCTCAAATACAACACCGCATCAAATAAGCAGATCACTGTCAGGTTCTAAAGTCTGCATCAACCTTCAGTTTTTCTATCATATTCATTTTTAAAATCAACAGAAGATGTATTTTCTGAGCACAAAAGATTTATTCTACAGCCAGAATCAGCCCTCAGTGAGTCACATTACATAGTAGACATTTTTTATTCTTTCGTCCAAAGGAACTAATTATAAATTTGTTGAGAAAATGAAATGTTGTATAAATCATTCTCATAAGTTGCCCGTTCAAAGGTTGTTAATTCTTTCATTGACTACACATGAGATAGGCCTGCTATTCTCTAGGCACTAATTTATATCTTGGAGGGAGAGGTATTAATCCCCAGGCACCTGAAACTTTGCCTAGTCTGTTCATCTTCAGCACTTCAGTGTCAAATGGCATAACTTACTAAAAACCGCATATCATGTTGTTAGAGATATAATTCTTAAAGAAATCTTGCTGTATCATATATTTAAATCTAGTTATTGACCACGACTTGCCATTTTTCATTCTTTACCTGGGACTAACAAGTAAGATGGAATTTCAAACAACTTTTTGTAAATAAAGGATTTTTCAACTAGATCAGTGAAACTTACTTGTGCATCTCACTAACTGCAGGGACCATGGTTTAGGTTAAAGAAATTGGAGCTGGAATCAGAAGTTTAAGCTCTAACCATGTTCACTTCTGTGGATGAGAAAATCTGTCCCAATTTTTGAGTTGAGGCTCCATGTGTGCAGTGGACCCAGTGAATGGTGCCTCTCCAGGTTTTCTTGAGGCTTAGTAAAATGGAGTGTCTTATTATTCTCACTTCTCAAATTATACCCTATTATGCTGAAGTACAAGACATTAATTTTTAGTTTTAAAATAACTAAATTTGCTGT